AAAATAAATGGAGAAAGACCAACACAAGGAAGCTACTTTTCTCGAGCTAACCCCTTAGGTACTGTTTTCCTTTCCTGTCCGTTTTGCCATTATTGCAGTGCTGCAAAACGAAGCCAACTATGACCAGAACCGGCAGAGAGCCCTGTGGAAGTGAGCTGCCACCCCAGGGTATGCGCTGGCAGTGCCTGGACCGAACACCCTACTGTGCTTTTCCTCATCGGCTTTTCCTTTTCCTCTGCGGTGGCTGAGGTTCCCAGTACAGGAGCACGAGTCTGACAGGCTGCTTGGATTCTACTTTTCCAAGTACTGAAAACCAGGGGTGGGGAATTTTAAGTTGCAAGTTACAGGCGCCTGCCGTTATTTTAGGTAAAGCTTGGCTTCGAAATAAGAGGACAAAGTGTTGGGGATCTTCTACCAGCCAATTTTCTTTTGAAGGTCTTTTGGTTTTGCCTTTCCCTAGCAAGGTAGGTAAACGCAAGATTAAAGAACACCAGCGTCTCGATCAGGCGTCCACTGGGGCGGGCAGACTGCGATCGAGTCCGGCTCAGAGACCCACGCCACAGCAAGGCTGATGTAAAGGGCAGGTCAAGACCAGACTGGGTTAAAAAACAAGCCCGAAAGAGAATAACAGAAGAGAGGGACAGTTCTGAGCAGACTGTCACCAACAGCTTGGCATCACTGACCTTCGTGTCACCAGAAAGAAAGTGCAGCCTCTGCTTCACTGGAATGAACACGAGATGCTTCGAAATAGAACAGCAACCTTTGGTTTGGTAAAGAGTTAAGTGTTTTCCCATTCAAGACAATCTTATGTGGAATACTAACAAGGTAGTAGAACACAAGCAAACTAGTTTTAGAAACAAGGCCTTCGTGCTGGGCACAAGAAATCAAGAGTCATGTTAAACTTATCTTAAGAAAACAAAAAGTGACTTTGGGGAAGGGTGGGGGGGAGAAAACAAGGAGAAGGAAGGGAACACAAAGTGCCCCCGGGCAGAAGAAACCACCACAGTCTACTACAGCGATGCCTCCGCTCCCGCTGCGGCTGAGGGGCTCTGAGCGGAGCATCCCTGTGGGATGCACAGGGTTCCCTCCCTGGGGGCCCGTCCGCTGCCCCCGGAACAGCCGCAGGGAGGGTGGGAAGGCCAAGCCTCCTGGATGCTGCTACTGCCTGGATGAGCTCTGGGAGCAGGACTGGGGGGGATCAATGATCAAAGTCTAAATGAGCTCTGGGGCAAGTGTCCGAACGGAACCGGTGGCTGCTAGTGGGAGGAGGAGAGGGCAGGGTGGGTAACTTGGAGACATCCCCAAAGCCACGGCTCCCATGAAATGGATGATGGTGGAGATGGTTTCCTCTCGTTCCGCTACTGATCAGGGTATCACCGAAACCTTACAGCACTCAAAGAGTTAGAAAGCAGAGGTGGGGAGCAAAGATGCGGGTTTAGAGAGGGAGGAAGGGGAGAGACATCATTAATAAAGGAGGGGAGGGGGGGAAGAAAAGGGAAATAAAATTGAAAAAGTCATGGAAGCGAAGGCACTCCAAACTATATAGATACACTATACATCGCTAGAGTTATTGTTACAATAATACAGGCCGGTACCTACTGTACAGAGTTAAAACTATATGGCTTTAAAAAGCTCGTCTACATTTTGTCTGATTATTAAACAGAATCACTGCCCTGAACGGTAACTTTTTGCTCATTAATAACAGTTCCTGGGTCCACATATTTACATACAAAACAATAAAACTCAAAACTCAAACAACAACCAATAGTACGAATGTACACGCTTGAATTTGGTGAGGAGCTTTTGGGGGATTTTTTTTTTGTTTTTTTTTCCTTTTTTTTTTTCCTTTTTTTTTTTTTTTTAACTTTTTCTTTCTCATTATTTACAAAAAAGGTTGTTCAAAGACCTGGATCTGACGTGTATAAAACTGTGTGATCCTGCCATGATCCTTGAAAAGAAGAAATCAAACCAGAGGGGTACCCCTGACCCTCCCCAGCCTAACACACACACACCCGCCAACATAGATGCCGGCACAGTCACAAAACCAGAGGAAAGCTCTGCACTCCCCTTCACCAGCCTTCAACCCGAAGGCTAAAGGGAAGAGCAGCCCCATTTCCTGGCACAAGCAGCAACTTCTCTCCATTATTTTTATTACTGCTTTTAAACACTGTGTAATTCACTACCTCCAAATGACAGCGCCTGTGACCAACGCCTCAGTAGTGTTGCCTACACAGCGCATCCGTCCCCCGCTGCTGCCCTGCTTTTGGAGTCTTCTGCATCTATCTGGATCACTGGGTCAGCCAAGCCCTTCCACTTACCTTCTGGGACACTGACTA